TTGCAGAGCCATCCACTTCTTTTTGTTTTATCTAAGGGTTAGGGATTTAGGTATGTGTATGATAGAGAAATCCAACATTTTCCTTTACATCCTGAAATAAATCCTACCAATAATTTTCAACAGTTCCTTAACTAGTAAACAGGGTTTTCCTACTTGGAATTTAATCTTAGTATACATACACAGGTTGTGTGAAGGTTTCAAAGGTTTGTTAGAGAATATTGGTGAACATCAACCGTCATAAATGCCAAGGAACAAGGCAGAAAGGTCTGGGAAAGAGTTTTAAAGGAGTCTAAAACAGGGGTGCATTATGCAAAAATATCCGGAGCTCAGAGCCTCTCATTTGGTAATTTTTAATGCATCATTTGGAAGAAGGACTATGTTACAACTGCAAACCTCCTGAGACCTGGGCGTCCATTTTAAACCAACAGATCCATGGTACAGTACCAGGCGCTGCAGAAATTATCAGCTCAGAATCAACAACTGAGCTAAAACCTGAAGACAGCATATTAACTGTTAGTTGTGCAGTCCAGAGACGCAAGGAGAAGCATTCATTTGCAGTCCAGTTACAAGTCATAGGGGGGATGCAGGAAGTAGGGATGTCCCATTTTGATATTTCTATCAGATATCGGTGCAATATTAGCCAAAAGATTAATATCGGATTTTATCCGCCATCTAATATCGCACATATTTTCACGCTAATGCAAATGCTTCTGTTAGAAGTTTCTATAACTTATTGGTTACATGGGTTAGTTGTTTTCATACCCTCTGCTGTTCACTGTCGTTCTTAGTTTTAGTAATATTACTTGATCAAACCTTTTCTAACATTCCACAGTGTGAAATAAGTAAGAGAAGTTGTACGTTTCATACTAACATTGTATAAGGTCAAAATCGGTATCAGCCAATTGTCAGAGCTTAAATATCTGTATCGTATCGGAAATGAAAAAGTTGGATCTGACACCCTCAAGGCTGATTTATACGTCTGCATGTGTCGCAGGTAATGCAGACACCCTGCTGCACCTCTCCCAAATTGTAGATGACTGCAAACAGTACCGCAGACAGGAAGCCTCTGATTGGTCAAATCTACATCCGCTCTACACTATCTGTATTTCCTGTTTGGTACCTTACCGGCTTGTTTTGTTTGTATGACCGCCATTGTGGAAAACGACTCGTGAAGATGGACCAGCTAGAAGAGCAAGATGCGCAAGAACGCTGAGACCCTTTTTCCACCTGGATCCCCGCTCTTTTTCACCCTCACGTCCCTCCATTGTCGCACAAATTTGCTCCTTGCGTTTTTCCACTTCCTCGTTGCCTCGGCCGTATCTAGACCCACAGCTAGTGCATGCTTGTCCCTCTTGCGTTGTGGCGTGGAATAACATAGCGCAGACCACGCTTCAATATTGGGCATAAATCAAAACTATCTGCATCATGCCTGCGACACACTGCTGCAGGAGTATAACCAGCCGTTTAGTGCAAAACACAATGAACAAGGTGAAAACAAAGATTAGAGCAAAATGCAATGCTTTGTTAAAAGCAAAGAGCTGCAATTTGATGGTTGAGATCAAATTGTGTCGGTTACCATGACTGATGAGAGGGTTATGATGTTTAAAGGCTGCACCCAATCAGGTTGAGCTTGAGCTGTTTTTTAAAAGAGGACGTCTGAAATATCATGGAAGAAGATAAAGCAGCTACTGGTTTGTTCTTTATTATCCAGGTCAGACATGTAAGGTTTTCTTTAATGAAACCAGAAAAAAAACCCAGCTTGATATAGATTCTTTTCAAAAGACTTTTTTGACAAGACAGAAAAATTCAAAGGAGTAGTTTTGGATGGAGAAAAAAAGTTTGTAAGAGTTTAATAACAGAATCCAGAAAAAAGTATTTTTGTAAAATACTGATGTATGGAAATATTCTTCAGCCCCAATGTTTCTCATTGGTTCTTAAGGTCTCCTGCTCGTCCAGTGCTCTTGGCATTGAGGCTCTTGTTGAATTATTGTCTGGTGTGTTGACAGGAAACAGACCTCACTAAATATCGCAGACTCTAAACATGACCTTAACACATTTCCTCTGACAGATATTAGTCAGTTCTCGGTCCTCATTCATTCAGGCAGTCTACAGCCTGAATGATCTAAACAGCCACAGGGACAGAAACTATTAGCTCACTTCAGACCTGTTTACAGACCTTCAGGAGGAATTATCTCCCTCAATCTGCAGAACATTACAGCAGGGCTCATTTTTGTTTCAATATCACAAGAGTTTCACTACTGACGTGTGAGTTTGAGCCCATGTCGGCAGTTGTGCCCTGAATTTAGCAGATTACACGGCGTGAGACGATCAAAACAAAGTCGGGGACATTGTTTTCTTCATATTTCAGAGGATTAGATACTTGGCAGCTGGGATAGCAGAACATTTACTCTGCATCATGGAAACTTGACTTTATTTGAACTACAAACTCAAAACATGCCAAACGTTTTACACTGGAATTGATCATGTCATATATTTTCAATGCTGAGTTTTAAACAATACAGTTGACAACACAAGGAAACCAAATGGGAATAATTTACAAATAAAAGTAAGCAAATACATGCTTTTTGGTGAATATGTATCATATTAACCTAAACTTTGGTTTAATACTCTTTCATTTACTGTCAAAAATAAAGGAAAATTAATAATTCAGTTGTGTTCACAGCTTTTTAAATGATAAAAACACTGCAGGATTAGGCAAAGGAGTACACTGTTGGGACTCCCAATTCAATTTAATTCAGTTCATTTATATAGCGCCAATTCACAACATGTCATCTCAAGGCACTTTACAGTTCACCAGATCTTCCAGTCAGATTGATTCAACGTTTTTTATCTGGGGAAACCAGTTGATTGCATCGACTCATTGACTCAAAGGCAATCCTTCACACTAAGCATGCTTGTAGCGACAGTTGAGAGGAAAAACTCCCTTTTAACAGAAAAAAACCTCCGGCACAACCAGGCTCAGTTTGAGCGGCCATCTGCCGAGGCCGACTGGGGTTCAAGGAGACAGAAGCGGAAACACAAAAAGCAACTTTAAAAGGCGACCCCGTCCAGGAAACACACAGCCAGGGAGACAAACTCCGAGCCAACTCCCATGTCAGAGGATGAAGAGAGCACATCCAGCCAGACACAGTCAGAGAAACAGGACTACACTGAAAAACAGGTTGATCTCCAACATGTATAAACAAAGGTGTTGATGGAAGCAGCACAGCTGATATTTCTCTCCAGGATGGAGTCACAGCCAAACAGGAACATAAGAGGCAAAGCTACTATGAGAAAAAGCAGAGAGAGCAGAACGTTAGAGATTGCACAAACAGATTCTACAGAGTGGGAGAATAGAGATTTCTCGAGGAAATTTCTGCAAAAGGAACATCTTCCCACAAGTGGATGTATAGTTGAACCTATCTGGTGCAGAACAGTGGACGCAGGGGCAAAATACTCTGACCTCTGACCTTTAACCTAGCATGCAGGGTCCGGTGGGTTTCTAATTTGCAGTAAGGAAAGTATGTGAAAAGTTAACATCTTTCATATAACTAACTGGGGTGTGGTGTGAAGAGCCCAAGACAATTATTTTATTATTTTATTTTTTTGTGTGTTTGTCTTATTGCTTTTGTTTAATGGTGTAAAAATCAGGGGTGGATCTAGATGGGGGGCCAGGGGTGGCCATGTCCACCCTTAGCTAATCATTGGCCACCCCTGTGGCCACCCCTACCATTTATTTCCCTCTAATACAGATGGTGGCAGCAGTAACACTCTCAAGTCGAATATTCAAAACATTAAAATTTTTTATATATTAATTATTTGACAACAAAAACAATGTGACTAATATTAAAGATGAAAAGTACAGAATTCACGCTCTTTTCAGAAATAGATTTTGTGTTATATGGGATACAGAGAAAATGACGTGTCTCTGAAAGTCACAAAGGAGTCTTCAGTGAAATCATAGATAAATAACTATTTTAATAAAAACTTAATAATCAATTTGTGTATATATTAGTATCTGTAAATATCAATTTCATGCAGAATAATTGTTGATAACAGTAGGTAAGTAATGACAAAGGAAGAGATTTTTGCCCCAGAACTTAAACCTGAAAGAATTGTATCCATTATACCTTTTATCTAGAAAGCATGGATGTTTAAATAATTGCGACAAACTATATTTTACTACAGCAAAGGCTGTAGTAAAATATAGTTTGTCTTTAATTAGAAAATATAACGGAAGAGGATTAGGGACGCTGGAAAAAAAAAAGTTTACTGATTTTAAAATTTTATTTCAGTTTAGTATGAAAAAAAAAGTCAGAATTCTGACATTTTTCTCAGAATTCTGACTATTTTTATTGTCAAAATTCAGTCAGAATTCTGAGAAAAAAGTCAGAATTCTTAGATTACAGTCAGAATTCTGAGATTAAAGTCATAATTCTGAGAAAAAAGTAAGATTTCTGAGATTGAAGTCAGAATTCTGACTTTTTTTATTGTCAAAATTCAGTCAGAATTCTGAGAAAAAAGTCAGAATTCTTAGATTAAAGTCAGAATTCTGAGATTAAAGTCAGAATTCTGAGAAAAAAGTCAGATTTCTGAGATTAAAGTCAGAATTCCGAGATTAAAGTCAGAATTCTGAGAAAAAAGTCAGATTTCTGAGATTAAAGTCAGAATTCTGAGAAAAAAAAGTCAGAATTCTGACTTTTTCCCCATACTAAACTGAAATAAAATGTAAGTCAGTTACATTTTTTCAGTGGCCCTAATCCTCTTCTGTAAAATAAAGATGTTGTGCTCATTAATTTTCCTATTGGAACAGTGTAGATTGACCCTGAGGTTCTGGCACCTATCGACTTTCGGCCCCCCGTCAGTGTAGCCTATATTGGTTACTGCCTGGCCACCTTTATAAAAATGTTCTGGCTCCGCCTCTGGTGGCCGGTGATCTGGCATCGCGACATGCTGACAGCCATCCGGAGCGCGGTGGCTTTAAGGAGGGAGGCGTGGTGCTGCCGTTTCCACCGACTTGTCAGATCCGTCTCTCCTCTCTACACCCTCAGCTGAATGACCAGCCTCCTCCGATCAGACCAGGGGGATCTGCTCTCCGCTCCCAGTTCTCATCCCCTGCCTGCTCTCTAACATCCTCCCCCCCCAGGATTATTATTACCGAGCGGTGACAGCTTCCTCGCGCAGAGCCTCGCAGGTGAGTCGCTGATCTGTGAAGCAGCGGCGGTGCGCGGTGCGCCGCAGGTCTGACGCTGCTGATATCTGAAGAACCTTTAGGATCTGAAACTGTTTGATGTGTTTGGATCATTTTTCAAATGTTTCTATTAACATTAGATATGATGGATCTTTGCTTCCCGGCTGAGGCGCATATTAAATATTAAATACAATCTACTGGATTTCCAGCTTTATATAGCCTTACGTTTCATGCAATAATTTTAGAGACTGGTATTGAATAACTACAATAATCCTCCCATGTCTATCAGTTATGAAATAATACCTTATAGGCCGCTACAGTCTTATTGGTTAATTTATATGCAATTCTGCGCATGACAGTTTTACGTCCTCTTGGATTTTCTTCAAGTATTTTTTCAAATATTTGACCTATTAATGTGCAGATTTGATAAAAAACGCTTGAATTCACGCATTTGACCTCGATTTTATACCGGTGTCGTGCGTTCACTAGGCTAATCGGACACACGTTAGTACCAGCGGGTGTCAATAGAGGGCGCTGTTTCCCATCAGCTGCTGTGTCATCCTATTTCTGCTTCACACAGACACTTTTTTCCTACTAAGAAATGAGATGCAGTGATGGGTCTGATCTCCACGTCCTTTTCACATTAGTTAGAAGAGATATTCTATTCTTTAAATCTATGTTTTACTGATATTAGTCTTTTGTGACAGTGAATGTTTTCACATATAAAGAAAATTATTTTATTTCACTTGAAAAGTGGAATAATTAAATGTAATTGTACTTTTTGAGGCTTATTTTTATATGTGTTTGCAAGATTATCCCAGTGGTATAGTAGATGTGACAAATCACTTTGCTTATTGTTGCCAGCATTCTGCCTTTCTCCTGGATTAGAGTTCACTGTTTCCCATCCAAACATTGGTGCATCAGATATCACCTACTCTAACATAAAAGAAGAGTTTGAGTGTCTAAATATAACATGTTTAAAAAAAGAACAACTACTAATCCTGTTAGTTATACTTGTCTTGAAACTAAGTGCTATTTAAATATGAAAAAGAGAATACGAGCTGAACCAAATGCCTCGAGTCTCGAGGGCATCTTCCTCTTTTATGGCCCATGCAGCTTGTTGGTTTATAGGATTGGGGAGACACTGAGAGCTGGTTAATCTGGCTGAACATCTGGTCCTAATGCAGCGATGGATCTTCTTGGCTGGTTGCGGACGCTTTATAAGTATAGCACCATTCTAAGCACAAAATGATCACTCATGCAGCTATCACTGAGCATATATAACATATATGCATATATATAACATGCATATATTACATTCTTCTTCAATGAATTGGGAACACAATTCCTTGCACAACTATATGTGTTCACCTTTTTCCAAATTGCAACTACAGACTTTAGACTTTATATGTAACATTATGGAACAGACCCAGACAAAGTAAAGTATAATTGTGAATTTTAATGAAAAAGCTGCCTTTTATCACAGAGTAACTGTACAGGAGCTGCAGACATCCATATAACATGAGGAAGGCTTTGTTGACCCAATAATAATTAGTTTTACGGTTCATAAATATGACCCCATATGGTAGACAGACAACAAAAAAGCTTTTTTTTTTATTTAAAGACACATAAAGTTTTGTTAGAAAATCTTTAAACCAAAGAAAAAAACAAAGTGCTCCAATCAGCTCTATGGTTGTGCACAGCCATCTGTATGGTGACAAACAACAGCACCCTCATCATGCTGTGGGGACACTATTCTTTAACAGGGACAGGAAAACAGATGGGAATTAATGTGAAGATGGATGAAGCTAAATATAGAAATTCTGGAAGAAAACTTCTAGTTCCTGCAAAAAGTTATGATTGGGGTGGATGTTTGGCCTTCCGGCATGATAACCTTACAATTGCGCCCTATTCATGGGTTAGAATGGCCCTGTCAAAGTGCAGACCTAAATCCATTTGATAGCAAAAGGAAACCTGATGCTCTCCATCCAACTGAATGACCCTGAAAAAGTTAGCAAAGATGAATTGGATAAATATATCAGTGACTACATGGTTTAGGGGTCCAATACAAATATATGGAAAACATTTAAAATTTTATGTAAAAGAAGAAAAGCAACTCATGCATCCTGTAAACGTTCTGCAGTACTTAGTTGAAGCAAATGGTGAACCAAATATTTATCTATCTAAGCCTCAACTGTTTTAAAATTGTGCCCAGCAATAAGAAAAGAAAAAACATTTATAAAAGAGCATTATAGGTTTAAGGATTGAAATGGATTATGACATTTTAATCATGCTGACCTATAGCGATAGGGAGCGATTGCAGGATTTGTCCATGCAAGGCTCAAGTTCTTTTTTCACAATTTTTTGAAACTCATAGAACAGACATCAACAGGCTGCTTACTTCAACCCCACTTGGCTGTGCTAATGGCTATCAGCAATGGATGGATTTATTGAAAGCCCTGGTCTTTAGCGGGCAGCAGCCCTCCGAGCAGAGGGCTGATCTTTTAATGCGCTTTAAGCTTTTTACAGTTTCAGCTGCATGTTAGATTTCACATACAGAACAGGAATATATCTGATTGTTCCCCAGTCTGGCTGGAAAAGTGTGATCCTGCAGAGTATTTTTAGGTCCAGTGTTTTGACTAAAGAGCTGAATCTTTAACCAGCTACCTGTGTGTTTTCAGAGTGGGGGGTGGCTTGGGGAAAGAAAATATGTCTGACATCCAAGAGTAACAGAGCCACTGCACTGAGGTGTTCTGCTTTTGGCTGCAGCCTTGCTGACTGAGCAGAGGGTGAATGCTTCTGCTTATGTGTGTGAGTGTGTTTCTGTTGGAGGAAGGATGAGTGGGAGCCTTGATCAGCACGGTGTGGCTGGGAGGTACCACACAAGAGTTCTGATGTTTACAAAGCCCAAACCAACATGCCATAAAGAGGAGGGAGGGCTTTGTTACCAGGAGCGAAGAGCGGAGCTTTAGTCGGGTCTTAGAGTGCCTGAGGTTCGGATTGACAGGTTATTCTGAACTTTGAGTAACAAAGGTAAAAGTCATGTGCTATTTTTCCAGAACAGAGGCCATATCACTCAACTTTTCTGGGTCTTTGTGGACCAGTATTTCTTCTGAAGGTACATCTGGTATGTAAAATATAACGTCATTTGTAAACATTGTCTAAATGTATTTCCGATGTATAGGTCAAAGCGGCATCTGAAGTAAAAGACTGACTTATCCGTGCAGTCAATACAAAACTTGTCTAAAAATGATGGCAAGCTCTAGAAATGTGTTTTTCTTATAAAGGAAGAGGATAAAATTCAGCTTAGAGACAGAAATGTCTCCCTATAACATCGACTGAAGTTTACTGTATTAATAATCCTTTGTAGGTATTAAGTGGTCAATGAGATAAACCTTCGGTATAACCAGGTCCTACTGCCTGTGCATCAAAATCAATAATGCAACACAAAAATCAAAATGACCAACTATCACCTGCTGGTTAAAGCACCAGTTTAAATGTATCACTTTTAGGTGATCTACGGTACTTCTTCCGTGCCTAAAGTAAACCTATTCTTGTTTGGACTTACTACGACCCTATAATGCATGTAGCAAACATCGTCAAACCCACAGTGAGTGACCACAGCAGTTATATCAGGCTTTGAGTTAGTCTCTGCGTCTCTTTCTGTGGTGGCATGCTGGATCGCTGCATCTTTGCAGAGATCCTGAGCACAAAAAGTCGTCTGGGAGTAATTAGCTGTGATGGTTTAAGACAAAACCAGACAAAGGGTTGACCCTGTCCCACCTCCTCCCCTTGTGGTTGTACTTGCATGTTAAATAAGTTATTTTGAATAAAAAGTTAAGAAAGTATCAGCTCTTAAAATCTTACTACTTTTTTATGATTAAAAATGTAGATAGAATCTGGTTACCATGATTGGTGGGCATTATATTTTCTCAGAAATTGCAGCACATAGAAACACTATCAAGTTGAGGTTTTAACACTTGTTTTTGTGGATAGAGTTACTAAGATAATATGAAAATAGCATTTTTCAGTTTCATTGCAGTGCTTTAAAGTTAAGTGTCAATAATAAAATGTTAACACCTTTTTATAATTCCCCTTAAGGAGACATTGTAATAGCCTGACGTAGTCCGACTCAATTCTAGTCAGAATATGAGTCTGATACTGCTCCATAGAGCTGTGATTATGGGGTGTGTTTCGAACGAACCAGGAAAAAAAATGCCTCTGCACTCAATTGGATAGACCTACAACCAATAAGANGTCATCTGTCCATCATCGTATAAAGCCCGCCCTGACAATTTGATTGGATCGCCTGACAGTGGGCTTTAATACTCGCGCTACTATGGAGCAGAGCCAGACCGAACTTCCCCGACCTCAAACTTTGTGGGCTGGTCTAAGTTCGGAATGGCACCCAGGCTAACATTGTAAGGGACAAAAACTGAATTCAGACTTGGATTGTAATAAGTCACAGAATTATAATTGTCTCTATTCCTTAATTGGTTTTCTTAACTGTAATGGTTGCTAAATTAAGAGCAATATTATGTTTTTAGCTGTTTATCTGTGCTGGAATGTTCCATTAACATCAAACTAATAAGCATTTAAAATATGTTGAAAATACCATTATAATAATCATTCAAATATTCCTACCTTCAATTCAGTTTATTTCTATAGTGCCAATTCACAACACATCATCTCAAAGCACATTTCAGTTCAGCCGGTTCATCCAGTCAGATTGATTCAAAGTTTTCTATCGAAGGAAAATCAGTTGATTGCATCGACTCATTGACTCAAAGGCAATCCCTCACACTAAGCATGAATGTAGTGACAGTGGAGAGGAAAAACTCCCTTTGAACAGGAAGAAACCTCCAGCAGAACCAGGCTCAGTGTGAGCGGCCATCTTTCAAAGCCGACTGGGGTTCAAGGAGACAGAAGCAGAGATACAAAAAGCTGCTGTAAAAGGCGGCCCGTCCAGGAAAGTGTGTCGATTGTATAAAAGCTGAGATTAA